GATTTCAGCGATATCTTTCTCGTACTTGCCTTTCATCAATTGGGTCTTGGAATGGTCTTTCTTTTCTTGATCAAGTTCAGTTCTAACGCTTTTCAGTTCGTCTTGGTATTTCTGTTTCATCGCTTTATTGCCATCTTTGTCATCATTTGCAGTGTCAAGTTGCTTCTGTGCCTTGTCGACTTCAGCATTCAAGTCGTTGATCATCTTGTCCATTTCCTCCAAATCCTTATTCTTCTTCTTCTCGTCCGTGAGTTGATCAACTTGGACTGTCAAGTCATTCGCTTTTTAGTCAATTTTTCTTTGGTGTTATTTGCTTCATCTAAGTTGAACTAAACTTCCTGTAATTTGATATCAGCAGCCTTTCGAGCAGCATCTGCACTGTCAGCCTTCTGTCTTTCTTCATCGAGTTTGGCTTGAATTCCAGCAATTCTTGCATTCAACATGTTCTTCTCTTCTTCTTGAGGAACAGAAGCTGGTGCACTGACTTGGACTTTAAGTGACGAGACGTGTGCTTTTAGTGCTTTGACTTGGTCTTCCATATTCTTTCTTCTATCAGATTTGTTGAGAAGTTAAAGCAGTTTTCTCATCATAAGTTTTGTCGTCCAATGCCATCTTCTTATGTGCTTCAAGTGCCTTAATCTGTGATTCATAATTCTTAATCTTAAAAACGTCTTCGGCTGATTGCTTTTTCATATCTTAATAAGCAGCATCAAGTTGTATGTTTTTATCTTTCAACGCAGCGAACGCCTTCTCCAAATCAACAATTTGGTTGTCTCTCCTGATGACCTCTGTTTGGTCGATCTTTGAAGTCCCATCATTTCTTCAGGGTCTTGCAATTGTTGTTCCAAATCTACTATTTTTTCTTGTCTTTAGTTGTTCTGTTTCTTAATTCAATCAACTTCCTTTTATTTGCTTCTAAAATAAAAAAAATAATAATGCACTATAATAAGTAAACTATATTTTCTAACAATACAAATTAAAAGTATTATAAAATGTAATTAAAACAATTAATATAAATTAATATAAATTATTAAAATAATTATTAGTTGTTTATTAATAATACAATACTATATAATAATGTAATCCCATAGTTTAAAATTTCAAATATAACTAAATTTATAAACATTACTTATTCAAATATCAAAGCGATGAAGTTTTAATAGTAAACCTGAATATTTATATGACGATGGTTGTCACGTATAGACTGAGCTTTTTATATAAATCATTGACCATTTTATAATATAAAAATATTTTTTTATTCTATTGACCAATTTATAAAATAACCAACCAAAAACAAAATGTCGTTGTCATCAAATCCAATTAATGGTGTTGGACTCGCACTAAAATTGCCCAAATGATGTGAACACCCACTTTCTGTCTTTTCGAGTGTCAAATTTGCAAAAGCGAAATTTCCAATAAAAACAATTTGTGTTGTTGGAAGAGTCACATTTTCACTCAACACAAATTCACTGTTCGTTTCGATTTGTAACGTTTTCGTGCGCTTTTTAATATTAAAACTCTTCCAATGAGTCGCATTGGTTCCTTTAAAACCCACAAGTTGACTTTACTGGTAAACAGTCCTACTAAATATACACTTTATTATTTATTTATAATTTAATAATTTATACTATATAAAGTGGTAAAAAAAACAAAAACAGTTTTATATAGGAAAAACCTAATTATTATTTATTCAAAAATAAACAATTATAAAAATCAATAATAAGTTTTTTATTTACGTTTTTAATTATTTTTTACTTATAATCTTTTAATTATACCAACCAGATTCAAAAAGTCCACAAGTTTATATTTAAGAAAGTTATATCTCCAAATCCAAAATAAATCAATTTTAGTAACCAAAACGATTAGCAATAGTTTGATAAAACGAATTTGTCATTTTGTCAAAAATGATACAATTTGATTGTAAAATATACGATATATAAACTATCAAATATGGTTTAGTTATAATAATGCTTTAATTATCAAAGTTAATAAATTACTCTTTTCCATTTTATTTTTATTTTAAATATTTTTTAGTTTTATTATAATTTAATGAATGAACAAACTAAATACTAATAACTAAACTACAAAAAGACATTATGAAAAAATACTTTCTACAGAAACATATTTCTAGTTACAAAATAGTTACTTATAATTAGACAAACTTACCTTAAACAGCAGGGAAAATATATTATAAATTATTATACCTATATGTTCTATTTTTATTTCATTTTTGTTCTTTTCTCTTGTAAATGTGCTTATTATGAACTAGAATACTATAGTAATATAGTATTATTATAGTATTAGTATAATAATATTATTGTATCATTATAGTATAATTATAGTATTATTACTATAGAAAGTAAACACATTAATTCAAAACAACACTCCAAATCGCTCTTCATATGTACAACGATGATTTCACGGTTCAACATTTCGTTTGATCGCCGGTGAGTTATATGTTGTTTTTAGTGTGGTTATAGCTGTTTGTTAGTATTTTATTATTTAACAATAGAACCAACTCATATTGTCTTCTGTAATATGACAACGAGATATGTTTCTTTGGAGGAGTCGGGTTTGGCTGTTATTTGACGAAATTCAACGACAGTAGTGTCACCATCACGAA